AGATGAGCCCAGAGGTTGTTCCATGGTTCAATCTGTGAGTTATCCATGCCCTGACTTTGATCAGCCCAGAGGTTGTTCCAGGGTTTGTTCTGATTATAACTGAAGAATATACTGGTAGATCGGTTGCTGAGTAGAAATGCATTTTACTTAACCACGTACGAGGTCGTTTGAAGTTTAACATAGTTTTCCAAGTTCAAGGTCACAGATATACCTAAGAGAACTCTCTAGATAAAAAACGCAAAATTTCGTTGGATTATAACGATACTTAGGGGGGTTTCATGAATGATTTCACTCCACTCAGTGGGGAACATCTTAACAGTAGTTTAGCGAATCACATGGAGTCCTTTTGTCTTTATTCCTACAACTCTTTCAGGAATTTTTTTTTTCGAATTCCTTTACGATAAACAATTGAACTGAATCACGTAATAATCTTGCTTGTTTTTTTACGATACACTGAAAATATTTTTTTCAATTTCTTCACTGCGAACTGTCTTGCTTTCTTAATAATTTGATGAGTATTAAGCGATAAAAAAATGTTATCTGTGAATAACTGAGCTTGCAGATCACTCACGTGAACACGAAGTTACAAACTGGTACCTGCCTTTTGAGTGGAAATGAAAGTGTCCCTCTTCGAGCTGTTGAGCAATAGGACTATTTAAAGACTGTGTAATTATTTCAAGGCGTTTGGAGATTGACTACCCTAGCTAGAATACTAAAGGCCAGTCAAATAAAGAGTTAAAATCGAGGAAAAGCTCACTTTGATCAAGTAGCCTTGTCCTTGCACGTGAATTGGCGTTGCAGGTACCTGTCATTAGAAACAGTCCCCTGTGATCTTTAGACCAATGAGCTACTAAATATTATAAAATAGTGCGAACGTTTAAAATTCTCATTTGAATAGCTAAAGTGGTAATAGGATATCGTGGCAGGCATTTTTCAGCAGGGCTAAGTTCATCGCGTGAAACGTTTTAATGGAATAAGAGTGAGATCATAGAAGAGCTTCCGGTACGATTCGGTTGTTTTTGAATCGCGAGGGACCAATCATAAATCGTGATGTGATTATCTTCACATTATCACATTGTTTGTTCGTGTGTCTTGATTTGAGACGACCGCTGGCATGGTATGGACAGACAATTCAACCTTGACTGACTGACACGATCCAAGAGACGACTGCCATGGAGGCAGGAGAGGTTCCTCCAGTTCTGAACCTAAATCAGGTAGGTCTACATTAGCGTGAAATGGTCCCCTCAAATACTTAACTACTGCAAATGTAATATTTCAAAGAACTTTCAGTGACTCTAGCAAATATGTTACTAATTACGTTGATTTGTATATTAGATCATATTTGTAAAGGCAAAGTCGTTGTCACAAATTTAAATCTAGATCTGCTTATTGTTAAAGCTTTTCTTAAACGTTTTAAATCTTTAGTCTAATGAGCCTTGAAATGTCGGTACATAGTCGTTCACCCATGTTAATTATACGGTCCGATTCACAATTCAAAATTGACCTTTATATATACAAGTCGGTTTATTATCATTGCGACCAAACACGCCTGGTACTAGCAGGTGCGATTCATCGATCGATCGATCGATCGAAACACGGCTTGTTGCGTTGCCCAAAGATAAATGACAGGCTAAACACTAAATTCCTACAGTATAATTAATACGTTGTTTAAGATACGAAAGCGATATCTACTTATTGATTAACATATACACTTGGAACTTATAAGAAAAACTTTGGAAGGATCCAATGCGATAGTTTGTTTTCTAAAGTTTTATGATATAACACCAATTGTCTAACTGCTTTACTATGCGATTATTCTTGGCGCAAAACAAAGTCAATTAAGTTTCCGGCAAATTATCTTTCCTTCGAATTACTGGGTATTAACGTTGTCCAAACGGTGCACTTTCGAAGACTTCTCGAGTCGGCCAATGACCCATTTTACTCTGCAGTTCATGGGTTGGTGCGTTTTGAATCATCCTTGACATTGGGATAATCTTTTCCTTTTGTTTTGTAACGTCTTAATCGATCGGAAAAAAGGTTTAATGGGCGTTAGACATGTGTCTTGCTTTAGCTTCCGATGTATAGAAAAAAAATACGAGTCATCATTAACCTACTCTATGTTTTACTAATCCAGAGCAACTTAATTCATTATCTTCTGTGATCACTGAGTTATTTTCTCTGTTACATAATGAATTCCGTGATGTGACCTTTGGTCAAGGGACCTACTAACAAACAAACAAAGTAACCAACAACTGCTTGTTTAATCGTACCAACCAGCAAACAAACAAACAAACCATCTACCCAACAACAATGTTTATCATGGAAAAACTACTGATAGATTATTTATGCAAGACAATTGCGCGCGTGGCCAAAGAGTGGAGTCCTTCACCAAACCAACAAGAAATTAACCAATCTCAGACAAGGATCGTCGCGCCAACTAAAGTAGTTAACCAACCAACCAAACAAACAAACAAACCATCCAACCAATAGCATTGTTTATCGGTCATGCACAAACTAAGGTTATCCAGGTCAATAAGCAAGGCATTTAAGCTTCCAGAAATCGCTAATCCAACATTTCTTCTTATAGAACCCGGAGGTAAACATGACCTCTTTTGCGGGCGTAGGGACGTCTTCTTTATGTATGGACACGACAAGTGAAGAATTTGTTATCGATGTCAAGAATGAATCGCCATATTTCACCCTCGATGAAAACTCCGCTGATATGGAATACATCTACAAAACTCCGTTGGATGGATCCAATCCTCATCTGAGTGAAACGGTTTGTTTAATATGTCACTTCACTATTCCTACAGAAATCCTTCTACAAATATAATTCCTTTTTATGTTTCGCCCTACTTTTGGGGCGCATGTAAGTGGTCCTAGACCAATCCTCATCTTAGTGAAACGGTTTGTTTGGTATGTCACTTCACTATTCCTACAGAAATCCTTCCACCTACTACAAATATAACTCCTTTTTATGTTTCGCCCTAATYTTGGGGCGCATGTGGTGCTAGACCGTCTTCCCAACTACTTTACCTGCAATCGGACCATTTCTATGACAACTGAAACTCCCTACCTAAAGAAGAGCCATTTTTAAAAAAATCCTTGGAAAGGCTTTTGTTATGGGTCTTTCGTTGACCAAAAACCATGCAAGATTCCCAAATCAGTTCCGATTTGTTTTATAATGCAAATAATGAAATATGACCCTTTTCTTACCTTTTTAGCTAAATTACCAAATCAGACAAATTTTCATTTAGCACAACTGAATGGCAAAAATACATCACCAACATGCACTTTTTCATGCTCCTTCAGGAAATACCACGTCAGAAAAGAAACATTTAAGAGAAAAACAATTTGGCATCTGAATATTACAAGGACTTCTGGTTTTTCGCAGGTTTCACACGAGGAGCTGGAAAGAAAGCTTCTTAGGCGCGAAAGAAACAAGGTAGCAGCTTCAAAATGCAGACAGAAGCGAAAGGAACATGTACGCAACTTGGTTCAGGTGAACAATTCTTCCGATTTAAGCTTAACTTTTCATTAGTCTTTTCTTTGTGTGCAACGCGTGCTACTGTGGTCGCCAAAATTCACTTTATATTTACGAGATGTTCTAATTGCAAGGTCACCGCCTTCCTTGCTTTGATGCAAAGGCACGGTTACCTTTCAACCTTTCAAGATGGCGCAGCGAACTGTAGAAATTAACCATATTTTTCTTTAGGCCTCGGACCAACTCGAAGCACAGAATAGCACACTCCAAAGCCAGATATCCAAACTCCACGACGAGATCAAACAGCTTGAATTCATGTTGGACTCACACAGCTGCTCGAGGCACATGGCTGGTAACCATGGAAATAGCTGCAGCGACAAATCACAAGTCCCGGATGCTTCGTAACCAAGCCTCGGGATGAGCTACACGAATCGCGTGGTCAAGGAATCCCCTGAAAGCCATGGAAAGAAACACTCGCTGCACAAGGAAAAATTTAATCTACTTTGGGTTTCTTCCCGCAGCAAGAAAATATGTTTTCGCTTCAAAATCTGCAAGAATGTGTGCTTGAAAAATTATCAARCAAAGCAAAGACAAGCTGAATTGCCGAATTCATTAAAAAACGTTCTGATTGATAGAATGACCAATTGACATTTCCATGGAAACACAAGTACAAGATGTCGGTTTACAGCGCTTTTTTGCAGTGCAAAGCTTTTAATATTAACAGGTTAAATAATGCTATTAAAATGAAACAGCATCTAGAAACAGAGATGCTATATAATGATATTAAGTACGTTAAGTTGTTCAACACTGGACCCAGTTTCTTTCACTATGACAGTGGTTTAGAAAGGAGGTCGGAACGAAGCTACCATTTGTCCAGTGGTCAACACATTAACAATATATTGATATGTAAGAAGGACCTTCTCTGATGTTATCTGCATGTATTTATATATACTACATAATAAAATTTCTCTCAAAAAAATATTTGCTTCRAGAACCATGAGCGAGCCGAATATTCATCAGTACGCTATGCTGAAAGGATAACGTAGAAAAAGCAGGAACGAGTTTGAGCTGGGTCCTCAATCGTCGAACGGGCACTGGGAAACGCTTTTGGGTATACATTCAGTTGGTAGCCCCAGTAACATAATAGAACACACTTTGTCTCAGCAAGCGTTTCAAGAAACCTCACAGCTCGACTTTTCAGTTGATGATCGTGGTATGCCACAGAGCTCTGTTGCAGGTCCGCTTAAACATTATTTTGATGATCGTGTCGGAAGCTCTATTTTGGGCGTAACTAATGGCAAAATGTTACATTGATTTCTGCAGACATAATTGATTATAAATCTATCGAGAACTGAGTGACTTTGACCTTCAATAAGTTTCCCAGATGATCCAATAAAACCTAATTGTATTTGAGTGTTTGACTGAAATACCAGCTAAAATTCAATCAGTGTTCCAAGTTGCACTCGTATTTGGAGAAGGAGTGGGCTCCCGCACCTCTCACCTCTGTGCATGTGGTTTGGGGTTAATTTTATTTCTGGACTCGACATCACGTGAAAAGTTTGTCCACCATTCTGTTTATACTAAAACTTAACTGCATTCCAATTAGTCGTGAATAAAATAAACTACAACAAACTTAAACTTATAAGTTTTTTAAAAATTGAAATTTAACTAACAATATGCAGTCTTACAACCAATTAAGTCCCATTAGAGTGGTTTAAAAAATATATATATTAAATGGACTAAAAGATTAGTAGATCTTAAAGTATCAAATATTTCGCCTGTAAAATAGTTAGTAGAGTATTGGTGGTTTTCAACCATTCCCAAGAGAATTAAATAACAAAAGACACGGCGGCCATGTTGGAGGATATATTGACAATTTTTGTTCACGTTCCTCCAACATGGCCGCCGTGAAAACCATCAATAGAGATTTGTATATGTCTTGTTCCCATTGGTTTTCTCGACTTCTTTTTTCTATTTAAATACTACACATTAAACAAGTGTTTCACGGGTTGAATAAAAACACTCTAACGACACGTCTCAGGAACTTTGAATATCTTCAAGTGTTTCACAAAGGGTGCCAGGTTGGAAAATTCTAGAARGCTGACTGGTACCTGTCAAACCAGATTGTTAACAATTTATTTCTGTCACCTTTGAGCTTTCGACATAACCAATAATGAGAAGATAATTTCTGTTTATCTCAGCACTTTTAGAGGACAACTTTGGGAAAGGCCAGGCTGTATTGAAAATTCAAAGTTGCTGTGGACAGTGAAACCACGGTCGGTCACAAAATTCAAGATCCATCCAGTCGAATATTTAGAAAATTCACTGTTATTAGTATAGTCATCTTACTTGAAATTTCAAAAGAATAATATTCAGAAATTTCCTCTGAGTGCCAAACAAGACTTTATAATGTTTACCAAGCAAAGGTTGTAGGGGGGAAAGAGAGTCTAAAATAATTGAGAACGAGAAACTCATCGAAAGAAAACCCGAAAGTTCAATGGTAGTGAATTATTTGCACACAACTAAGCATGTGTATTATGTCAACTAGTTGAAACTACGAACGGAAAATTAAAAAAAGGAATGTAAACCTTCGACTACTTTGAAACAGAATATAGAAATAAAGTCTTGTCGATTGAGATTTTCATGCAATGAGTCAAATTTGCCTGAAAGACCCTTTGCATTTGCATTTCGTAGTGGAATTGTTCTGGGGGATAAAACAATAGGCCCCGTCTTTAAATTTCTTATGCAAAAATATATTCTATTGTTTTTTCCCCAGACCAATTCCTCTCGGGACTCAGTTCAAGGGAACTATAAATATACTTTTTGCTTTCTGTACACGATTAAAAATAATGCCAACAGATTGATAATTTTACTGATTTTTATAAATTATTGTTGGGGAATAAATTTTCATTATTTAGTGTTATGCCAGTTTTGACAACTGTAAACTAAGTACTGTAGTCTTGTATATTATTTTTTATTAAGTAATAATTGTCATAGTAATTCGCTAATAAGAATTTTTTTCTGCCTATATATAATATATTTCATTTTGAAAAAATACTTGATTTTGATTCTTAATTAATTGTGTTTCGTTTTCATCTTATTTCTATAGTGAGTTAATTTGTTGAATTTGATTTAAATATTCGATTTTACAACTTTAACTCATAAAAGCCTCACGATGGGTTAAAGGAGAAACAACGAAATTGCAAGTAATATTTCAATTTTTTTCCCAAAAAATTTATCTGCCAAGTCATTCCTCTTTATACAATCTTTTTTCCAAAAAAAAAGTTTTACGCATTGTGAGCAAAAACCAATTCTAGTAATAATAGAAAAAGAAATAAATTTGCGCCTAAAATCCAACAAAAAAAAAAGTGAGATTTATCCATCTCTTTGCGATGAGATGACAATATTTTGAAACTGAATTTTACCAGTAAAAGTGTCACTCAAAAATGAAAATTCCCTGTATTTGTAAGCATTATTATCGCTGTTATGTTATCCAAGTATACAAGGCCGAAAAACGTTTGGTTCTCTTTTATGGTAGTATGTGATTGGTCAGTTTTGGAGTTGATTGACATGTCACGTCAAAAGGCCAAAGTAGAGCAATGATCATCAATTTGTAATGGCATCACGTCTTAATTAGGTAGAAACGAATCGTGATTCTTGCACGAGAGCCCTACTTGGGTATGGCGTAAGCCGGTTTATGAACATGATGAGCAATCTTGGATCTTCCTTCATTTTATGTAACCACGACTGAGATATGACCTACAGAACTTAGCTTGGGAACGATTAAACTTCATCATGGAGTACGGATTTGTCTCACAGGTTAGTTGTGCAAAATATATTTCAACTGCAAGAAATAATCTTACCGTTTTTACTTTACGTGAAATAACCTAAGAAAATGCGCAGAGATTTTAAGTACATGATTCAACTGCTTACTGATAGTTGGAAAATACTACATTATGCATCGTATTTTCGATTCAATAACTTGTGTGACTGTTGAGAACGTTTTGCGGTGGATGACTAATAGTTGAAGCAAGTGAAAGCATTCAACTATGTGATTTCTGTGGTAATACCTCTACTGCAAATCGTAAAGAAAATTTATGAGATTTGCACAATGAGTTAATTTGCAAAAGATGATTTTTAATTTCATATCTTTAACAGCTAAATTTAATAGTTTTATCCTTGGATAACAATGGRAAAAAATTCAGCTTTTGGAACATTTTACGTGATTCAATCAAAAACGAAGTATTTTCATTCATAAAGAAATATTCATCGATTTTATTAATTTTGCAAATGCAAAGCAAGTGGTTTCGCATTCTGCAGATCTGGAGTTGCAGAAAGACGAAAAAAGCCTAATGAACACAAAAACATCCTTGCTGTTTTGTGTGGGTGGACAGCAGGTCGTGTCCCACCTGTCACTGAGTGTGTATGACAAAAATAACAATCTCAATCATTTGTTTACAGTGATTTAAACACCAAAAATATATCACTTACTAAACTCTTTATAGCGAAAAGATTTGCTAGGATTGTTCTTTAAATTTATCTAGTTTGGTAACTGATTGATGGTAAATGTCAAACTTGATTTAATCTGATAATGAAGATTGCGCTCGCTCTACTCAGTGATACAAGATGTTAGTGTACAACGTGTCAGAAACTACTTAAATTTGTCTTAATATATATAATTGTTTCAAAAATAAATAAAAACAAAATCCAGTACCAATTTATTTGAGATCACGAAAATGTCCATGGAATGAAATTGAAAAATAAATCACCGTTTTATAATGGAATTTATGTGTAATGAAAAAATACAATTAATAGAGAATTTTAGATTTACGTTCACGGCAAACGTGAAACGTCAATTGACCAGCAAAAAATTCTTTTAAATTACTGAAAAAGAATCGCAAAAAAGTCCAAGTAGTAGAAAAGCAAAARAGTATTTGCGCTTGGTGAGWAGGTTTGTAAAAGGTAAAGTAAAATACAGGAAAACTATGAAAACGTGGTCACGTTTGGCGCTTGCGGGGAGAAAATAAAAGTCAATCTAAAACTCTTTAATAGGGAGGTTTATCCGAGGGAGGAGGAGGAGGGTTGGAGTGCGAAAATTCAAACAATTCATACTAAAATCATTAGTGTCATATAATTTTTACATTAGACTTCGATTTTCAAATCAAAAATACTCTCTTCATAATCATCATCTTTTTTTAAATCTTAATTTATTTTTTAAAATTTTTGTTTATCATCATATTACACCATATTGTATTTTTTTGGTTCTCTTGTAGACAAAGACAGAGCGCGCGCGCGGGCGTACGAGAGAGAGCGAAGGGAGCGAAAGAAAAAATACTTCAGGAAGAAAAAAAGGAAAAATAGATAATTAACAAGTAGATTGAGCCTTTTGTCACGATTATCCAACATTTCGAATTGTTGAATGCAAATACCAACGGAACGAACGTTGCATGACTATACACATCCAACGTGCTATATTTCTAAGCTAGCTACACGACTATTGATATTACGCGATGTGTAAGACCATCTTGCGAGTAAAACTATTACTGAAGCTTCAGGTAAAAAATCTGGCTTGAAATTTTGAGAGAATCTTGAAGGTTTGTTAGAGCTTTGTTTTTATTTTCTTTCAAAAGTCCTGGACGTTTGCGTTATTGGGTTTCGTCAATCATACCTTTTCTAAATGTAATGTGAACGACGGGTGGCTAGCATTCGTATCTTGGTTACAGAGAGCTCTCGCTCTCGCGTTTTCTTTGTCGTTTTTTTAAGTAGTGACATATATTTTCAAACTCTTCAAGGTAGGAAGTGCTATCTACATGGATCCTTCTGTCATCAGAAGTGCAACCAATCCAGGTGTTGATAACCTTTCAATGGATACCAACTTTGAGATAGCTGATTTGCCGGTCAAATTGGAACTACGGTACGCCATCGAGTCCAAACGAGCTGCTAATGGACTGGAATGTCCGAAAACTGAATACAAACAAGCAAGCAGGAGAGAAGAAGTGAGTAGTGGCCATTGACCATTTTAAAGCCCTAGGGGTCCGGGGTCGGGAGTACAAGACCGTAATTCTTACTTGGGGTGTCCTTCAACTTTTTAGCAAATTCATTTACTGGAATGCGTTTCTTACATGACGTTTGTACGCGTTTGCAATAGACCTCTTTACCTTGGGCGTAATGTTTTCCCATTTCAGACCACGTGTCATTCCTTAGAGCATCATATCATTGTTTGAAGGTTGCAAATGAAAAGACACAAAAATATGTACACAACTCAAATAAAAAAATATTGTTCAAGAGAATGAATGACCCGGGGTCTGAAATCGGATTACGCCCAAGTTAAGAGGTCTATTTGTTCAATAGTCTGACTCTGTGAACAGATTTCTACCTTTTTCTGATAGCTGTCACAAGATGAAATGGCCAGAAGACGACTTCGACGCATGAGAAACAAAGTAGCTGCTTCAAAATGTCGAATGAAACGAAAAGAGCACGTGAAACAGTTAATAGAGGTAAGTGTTGCGGCTATGATGATGACGTCAGGTCCTCGATATATAGCATGAGAATACACCTCTGGGTAGTAAAATGATATATCCAGTTAATCGTATTCTACTTGGACATACATCTATAACCTACCTTTTTACCTTGGGCGCAAAAAATATTTAAGAGGAGTCTTTTTTTAAGTTGTATTCATATTCATGTGTCTTCTCGTGTGCAACCGTTAAACAAAGAAATGATACTCTAGAGAATGACATGTGGTCTGAAATAGGGAAACATTACGCCCAAGGTAGAGGTCTATTGTTTTCCCTATGTTTGATATAAATAGTATTGACCTAAATCGTTAAAGTCCGTTATTCTATATTTTATTTAATATTGAGTAATTGTGACATTGACTAGTGACGTGATAAGGACCTCAGACCACACCCTTGGTTCCACCCTTTCTCCAAAAAGCGTTAAACGTTTTTTTTAAAACTCGAGTTCAAGGTAGTAGTCAGACATGCTCTTGAATATTTATTTAGTGGCGATTGGTCTACAAGTGCCATCGAGCCATAGATTAGTATATGTAATAGGACTCCATGCTGTCCAATTAAGAAACAATGGGACGAGGAAAATTCCGAGGACTTCCAAAATTGGATGAGGCCGTAGGCAKAGTCCTATTTGGCAGTCAGAGGAATTTTTCGAGTCTAATAGTATTTCTTGATTGGAGAGCATGATATCCCATTACCTATTAATTATATAGCTGCCTAATTAATCCCATATCAACAAGACCTGTCCAATTAAGAAAATAATTGGACAGTTACCTATATGGGATTAATGAGAAGCTGTATAATTGATATGTAAAAACTCCTGATGTAGAATTGTTAAGCTCTATATATATGTATATAGTACTGGCTTCAATCGTTTTATATTGAAGAAATAATAAACAATCTCATTCCAGTCTACGCAACATTTCAAGTACGTTTTACTGAATATCATAGTATTTGTACAAAACAGGCCTCAGAAGAACTCGAGTCAGCGAACAATCAACTCGAATCTGAAATAACTTGTCTTCACGCCGAGATCGAACAACTCTCAAAAATGCTTGATGGGCACAAGTGTAACCTGGAGAATGGCAAACATGGGACAGACCGCTGACCAGGATGACCGTACRACTCAAGGCCAGTTAAACTTGTCTTTTTTTATTGTTTATTTATTCATTTTTTTACTTCTTTGGTATCTTGCTTTGCCGCCGAGGAAGAGTAATAAAGAGAATTGAAGATTCATTTTTTTTGGAGTTTTAAAAGAGGATCGATTGGAAACGTGCGCCTATGAAGAAATTTGACAGACTATAGAAATCAAAAATATACCACTACTATATTTGGAGCTTTGCAATCTACCATTACCATATATGGAGATTTGGAAATTATTCATGGGGCTTTTAAGTCTACCGCAACCAATTTGGACACATGGAAATCTATCAGTACCACATGCTTTTTTTACCACGTTTGGATCGAGAAATGGAAATCTATGACTACCATATTTGGGGCTTTGAAATCTACTTTCAGCTTATTTGGAGATTATGCAAATCTATACCACGATCCTTTGGAGCCATACTCAGATTTGGGTAGAAATTTATTCCATTACCATATTTGGTATGTAGAAAGCAATTGTATCAACTTTTGCATAAAGTAACTTTATTTCTTCTGGGGTGACTAAAAAAAGGTTATTTTCAATTACGATTTTTTTTWAAAAATTAATTTCTTACTAATGTATTATACTTGCCTGAATTATACTTCTAATAATATTTTATCTAAATTACATAATCATTACTTCACGACGGAATTCTGAATTATAGACTTCGATGACCGCAAACAATCGGTTATTCCTGTTATGACGTCGTAATAACATCACGAAAAGAATTTTGAGAGAAGTAGTCTGTTGACGTCATAATATTCAAAACTCGTGCTGCGGACGTGTCGCGTCGTGACGTGCAAGTCCTAACATTTTGATTGGATGAGCAAGACATGATCTTGCGCACTGTGATTGTGCACTGGTGGTTGCAAAGGATATTTCGATGTCATCCTTTTGCCGTGAAGTTTTAAGACATCACAATCTATTTTTCTTTCTTTCTTTCTTTCTTTCTTTCTTTCTTTTTTTCCCCATCAAATCGATTACACATACGTGAAAGGAACGAGTTTGTATCTCGGTTTGGAGATTGAAACTTTGATGTCAATGATACTACGAAAAGAATTCTGTTTGTAGTGTTAATGTGACGTCATTCAAATGAAAAGTGCACGTTAAAGCAACAAGTGTGTGTCATGGAACCACTGGTCGTTGGTGTTCATCGTAGGATAATATTATCTAGTATAATTTATACTTTTTTAACGCAATTATTGCGGCACAGGCAACAAGTAGCGCAGCTAAACAATAATTATGTTGACGACGGACATGACGAGGGTGAACCTGATGGGATACAATATTTTCTTTGCTGCACAAAGATTAATTTTTCTGCTCTTTACAACGAAGAAAATTTGTTTTTCAAGTGATGGTAATACAGGTAACATTCGCTCCGCGAATCTTGTGCGTTTTGTTGCCCGTGTTACCGCACCTTTAGAAAATCATGTTCATCCTCGGATTGACTTTATTCGTCCTTTAATTCGTTTTATTACACATAAAGCGAGAAAAATTGTTCCTTGAAGATAGGTTAACATATGCTAAGGAAGATGATTTACGTGTGAGGGCTGAATGCTCTCAGTCTTCGTCTCCAACGCTATATACGTCATCCCTTCACTAGATTTGTAACGTGTCGACGCATTCAAGTTTAAATTTGGGCTTACTTCACCACGAACGATGCTAATGATAACCTACCTTTCAAGTAATATTCTATAGACTAAGTTACAAGAGGAGATTGTTCTTCCAACTCACAAAGCTAAAATCATGGATAAAAATCTAGCTACGAATCACCTTCTTACAGCTGGTTACTATACGTGGCTAATCATAACATTGCACTGTAAGCTGCTTTTTCTAAAKATTTACAATGAAAAGCGCAAATGCAATTTTACGTGCGCAATTAATTCCTATCACACTGGAAATTGAATTCCATGGCTTTGTAAATTGTAAGAARAATGTCCTCGGCTTTTGACAAGTTGACGATTTTCTTGTCCTTTTTTAAATCTAATAGGTTTCTTATGTTGAATATCTTAGTTTTCGTGTAAAAAATAACCGTTTTTAAAACTTAATGTTGACAAGATCTCGCTGGTAGAGATATAACTTTTTTTGAATCATTTTTAAAGTTTGTTTTCATTAGTACTTCAATCATTTTTGCTAAGTTTTGCTATAATTTGCTATTTTTGCTATCGATTTTCTTACAAATTGTATTTATGGGTACGTGTGGCGAGCTTGTGTTTGTATGAGCATGTTTTAGTTTTCTTATTTTATGTTTAAGATAATATAAGACATATTGCTTTAGTTTTATAAGAACTAACTTTCTCTGTCAAGATGTCCATAAAAACGAAGGAATTGTGAAAAGAAAATAATTTTTTTCTTGATGACACAGACATAAGCAAAGATTACGTTGAGCGCTTAAATTTTTATTACTTTTTCTCATGTTTTTTAGACGATGTATTTATTCTTATTAAGGGGAAATTCTTACGCTCGTTCTTAAATATTTTTATTTCATAGTGAAGCTTGATTTCTATTTCATATTCTCAAAGTAATTTGATTAAAGTTACGGCTGGCGGGCATGATATCAAAGAACTAAACAAAAATAATAATATTCCAAAAGTAGGCCTTTTTTTACAACAATTATATTAATTGACAGACACTGACATTTTGACGAGTTCATTTTTTTGGACAAACGGACGAAGACAACACTGACGCGGATTTGCTCAAATGTCTTAAAAACCTATGCCAAGTCGTGTTGAGATATGCGGAATACTTTTGCTCGCTGAAAAGAAGTGTGGCTAGTCCGTCTGCTATAATCGACCTTAGGCTTTGGTTATTAGGATATATATATTCCGCAAATCAGCTCTAGAACATTTGCTTTACGAACGACAAAAAGAAAGTCTATCTGACATAAAGATTAATGTACGGTTAATTCTAATTACGACTTATATATCATCGTATAAAAATCTGAAAGAATATGACGATGATACTGTAATATGAAAAAAAAAACWACGAACAAACGTACCAAACTAATATAAATTAAATAACAACAAACGACGACTAACTCCATCAACAACTTATCTAAAAACTTATACGAACTACGCAGACGTAAACGAACACTGTACGAACTACGCAGACGATAACGAA